GGAATGCCTCATTAGGTTGGCATTCTGATCAAAATTCCTTCCCTGTATAGCACGTGCCGCTTTGTTATGAAGGCACATGCTCTCCACTAACTTTTGCTTTTAACTCATTTTAGGTCTTTATTTCTACGTAATAATCTCTGGCCTTTTACAGTATTTATGTATTCTAATATTTCATAACTAGAAACTGAAGCATCATCAGCAACTTGTTTTTGTAACAGTACTGGAGAAGGGCTGTGCTTTATAACTGACCGCCAAGCGAGAGGTGTATGACCGACTTCTCCTGCTTCGTAGTCCAGATAATTGCAGGGTCGCTATGAATTATGCGGATTAAAATCTCTAATTTGCAGTAAAATTCTTCCCTGTTCTTTTAGTGGCAACTTTCCCCATGTAAAATGTTTAAAATCATGTTTATGCATATATTTGACATTCTAATCAACATGAGATTCCTATTCTATACCTTCCCCTAGCTTTACTGATAAATACGTACAATGCTAAAGAATTAAGGTCTCTCGTCTCAATTAGTCTTTCCCACAGCTAATAGAAGATATTATTTGCTACCACTGATATTGTAAAGTTTAGTTTTTCCAACACAATTTATTATGATTCTGCTTTTTTTTCCCCCTTACACTCTGTGCTCGCCCTCAGAACGTCCGCCCTTGAAAACACGCCGGAGACGCACAGCCGTTATTCAGTCCGCCAGCTTTAGAACTGGGCCAAATCCGTGCGTGTGTGCAAAACCCCAGGCCTGCCTCCCTTCGCAGGCAAATCCTAAGGATACATAGGAAGTTGGGTTTCTCTCTCACTTGTTGAAGTTAATTGGTCCACATTTCCATGGATGAAGAAACAGTTCTATATCCGTGAGCTTTCAGGAGTAAGCAAACACAAACCCGGGACCACTGGTACAAAATCTGTACGGAGTTGCTCTTAAAGCGGGATGCGTAACAAATCCGCTTACCGCATCCGCTGCTCTAGCGTATAAACCCTTCTGTGTGGAGCCGTGTTTAAGACGCTACAGTCAAACGACAAATGCAAAATTAACTGAGCCCTTGGACGTTAAACCTGAGCCTGTAATCAACTTTCAGGCAACGTTCTGCTTTTCACTCGTACGCAATCAACATGCAAGCCTTCAGCTTTTGGCCTCCAATTTAGGTATCAGCAAGACTTTTCATTTGAAAAAAAAAAAAAAGCACAGTATTTTGAGGAAAGTAATGTCACTTACTTTTAATGGTTAAGTACTGAGCCAGATGCAAAAAAAAAAAAAAAAAAAAAAGGCACCAGTTTCTATTTCAAATAATATTTGAAATTGTATCTAAAGTTTCCTTTATACTCAAGTGTTAAAAATGCAATTCCTGTGACCTCAGTGTCGCTGAAATGTGAGCAAAGGCCTTTGTTTTTTAGCTTTGGTCAAGAGGGCTACAGGTCCTATGAAGTTTTTTCTCCTTTTAGTTAAGAGGGGGGAAAAAAGGCCATAACCTGAATTGTGCGGTGAATGAGGACCACAGGCAGCCGTTGGTCCCCCCCAGAGAGCAGTGGGGAGCCGGTGAGATGTGCTGCATCTCATCAAAGGGTGCTACTACTTCTTCCCCACCCACAGGATGCCACTGCTGTGGATTTCCAGGTCCCCTGTCAGAACTGCATCATGCCGCTTTCTTAAAGAACGGGATTTTTTTCCTCTGCGCTGCATTAGCCAGAGACCCGTGGCGTGTTTTGTCCATCTCCCCAGAGCTGGTCAGCGTGACAGATCAGAGCAGTTCAAGTTTAATATTAACATCTTAGCTCTTGGATAGTTTCCAGAGCTGGAAGCAAAGCAGAAAAACAATTATTAGGGAAGGAGTTTCCAGCAGACAAGATCTGAAAAAGAAAAGGATTAAGTAACCAAACAAGGTCTGATAAAGTTGAGATGGAAACCAAGAACAGAACAATGTTCTAATCCACAAGTTATTGCCACATGGTTAATTAATTCACACAGCTGAAAACTAAGTTATAAATTAACCTGGTGCTCCCTACTTTTGCAACAGAAAGCTTGTCCTAAAGCTGCAAACTACTGCTTTACTTAATGTAATGCAGTAAAGCACGGTAGCTTCAGTACATGGGAAGAATTACTGACACACACACATTTATGCATGTATTCTTGGTAATGGCCAGAGGCAATACAAAGATCTATAAAAATCCTGAAATTTCCTTGTGAAAAGAGATATCTTCAGAAAAGTACTAGTAGCAGGACAAGTACAACATTTACAACTCTGCCTCTGCTGGGTTTCAGTTTTAGCCCGAGGGCCTAGGGAAGGAATCCCTCGGAGGGACCATCGTGGAAGCGCAACCCTTTGCCTCTGACTTGTCAGAAGTCGGCGAATGCCAGCTGTGGTTCTGATCCAAGATAAACAGTCTTCCAGTTGTCTGCTTGTACTATTGCACATCATTAGCTTGTTGCTACAGTGAGAACAGAACTGACAGTTCTTCTCTAAAAAACACTACTGTCAACAAGACTACGCAAGCAATTTTTCTTTTAAGTAGCTGGAGATGCAGTCTCCGAGTCCCAAAAGCACACGAGTCTGTAAGAGTTAAAACACAGTACAATATATAGTATCGTTGTTGTCGTTGGGGTACATTGTTGTCACGGACAGTTTGAAAAGTTAGTCTCACCAGAATATGACAGACCAATTAAAATTAAAAATCTGGAGCCTAGAAACAGTTTCAACAGTTAAACATCCTCCCTTCTCAAAACAGGAGGCTGTTGCATTGCACCGCAGTCTGTGAGGAAGCTCTGGTACCATATTTTTGTACTCTTGCTTTCAGTCCATTCGGTCAAATCGACCTGTGTTAAAAACATATGCTTTAATCTAAATCAATGTGCTTTATCCAGAAGAGGTCCTGCATTTAGATATTGAAAAATGAGGGAGCACAGTCCAACACTTGTGTTCTATTAAAGCTTTTATTAGCTAGTTTAGCTTTTCCTCACAGAATTTTTCCGTAATTCCTATAACAGTTCTTAATATCAGAGTAAAGAGTTAAGTGTTCAAGTGAAGTTATGGAAGAAAAAAAAAAGAGCAGCAGCAGTTTGGCAATAATTCCTCAAATCACTCACTGCAACTTATTTAAGCCTCCTTTTTCTCCAGTAAGATTTTGTGCAACTCATCTGCATCCTCACTTGTTTTCACCCTTATTAACATGGTGACAGGAACAGCTGGATTCTTCTCATCAATCGGTGGATTAGGAACACAAACTATAAGAACATTGTTTTTTCCGGTTCTTGTACATGGCATCTTGGGTGGAATTAGAACATTCAACAGTATGTTTCCTGCATATGAGAAGGAAAGAAATTACAATTAGCCATGTTTCAACTTTTACTGCAATACAGATGTTAGTATACTTACTAAATAGGGATTTAAGTTTGTGTTTGGAAGGAAGGCAATTCACAAGTGTCACATATGCTGGTCTTATTCTTCCCTAAGCATCTGCTCATGGCCACTGTTCTCACAGATTTCTTTCCTCATTAGGAATGAGGAAATCTCTGTACTGCGTCCTCCTTTTTTAAAGGGAGGAGTCTGAAGAATAGCAAATTATAGTAGGGACACACAGGAAAAAGGGAAGGGGACAAGGGAGAAGCGGCAAACGAGGACTCAGGTCACAGGGCTTAATTTATGCTTATGCAAGTTACTCGTTCTGACCACCAAGCACAGTTCATAAGCAGAAGCATAAAAGTTAGCTTTACCGTACATACAGACATGTTAATCTAAAATTGGACAAACTATGGTAGAATAAGCGCTTTGTATCCTCAAATCACACAGCACATCTGATGTGGGCTACCACCGGGTTACTACTATTAACAGCTCTAGGTCAACTTGTTAAATTATGTAGTGAGTTTGACAGCTTCAGTATTAGTGGTCTATTAAACAGTTGCAAACAAACTCAAATCTGCTTCCACAGAAGATGCACGCATTTTGTAAACCTGGTAAATAGTTCAGAACACGGTAGTAGTATTTAGGGGAAAGTCAGTCTTCGCCTTCCTTTCCAGGTCAGTTTTTCAACACAGTGAGATTTTAGGAAAGGATTATAGCACTGTGTGAAGATAGCAAAAGGAAAGTGTGCATCACTATGACTGCAGCAGCTTCTAGAAACCAATGCTTGGAAAGACCAAGCTGAAATGTCTTAGTGTATGAGCTGAAGAAAAAGGAAAGATTTCCTAATACATCACCTCAGACGAAGGTAGAGGGAACGTAAATCAACATCATCAAAACTTAGCATCAGCTGAGTGAAAATCAAGACTTGGGTTAAAGAGCAGGTAATTTGGAGAGACCAAGTTTTCATCTGCTCTATTCAACAGATTCAAATCCCCAAGGAAATGCTGAAAGCACTGACAGCTCCGCCATACATCTGCCTTCAGTTTTATTGCTAAGAACTGCCCTTTATCTGGCAAGCCTTGTCTCCACGGAAAGAAGTTAATGATCTGGAAGTGACTAACACAGGAGTCCCAATCTCACCAGGTATTTGAAAACTGCCCCCAACAGGCCTGCAGAGGCTTCATATGGACTTGCTATAAACTGAAAGTGAGGTGAGATTTACCAATAGCCTACAGGGCAGCACGGCTTTAGTCCTCAGGTCTTCTGTAAGCATAATATTTATTCTGTTTTATGGAAGTTGTCAAGTGCATGTGAACCCCACGTGCGAGTTTGTTGAAAGTCTGTTGTAGCAAAGTTTGTCAACAATGGATATCAAAACATGGATTTGCAGAGTTTGAGTATGTAAACACTCTTCAGCGAGAACACTGCACCTTAAAAACTTTAACACATCAAGTCCCCCTAACTTCTAAAAGCAAAGAAACAGTTGGCTTTTTTTCTCTTTAATTAGCTGTATGTGTTAACATTCATCTCGGAAGATATTCTGAGGAGCTATCACACTACAATTTATTCTAATTTCCTAGAGTCAACCTACCATTTCTGATCCAACTGCAGTTAGCTAAAATGCAGTTCAACAGTTGGACTTCAGCACGTGTTTTTAAGAGCAATGCATATAGCAAAATCCTGCATGCCTGTTCTACATCATGCTCCCTTTACCCCCAAGTACGACGGATGTCTGCCTACATGGCCAACTATTTACACATTAAGGAGGAACTGCAGGCAAACGGGAGCTGGCCTGCATCTTAGCACAAAACTCGTTGCTCTTCATTCATCACACCCGATAGATGTATACTTCATTGTGGATCTTAAGGCACGCTTCAAAGCCGCTCAGCAAGTCAGGGGTGGAGAAAAGCTATTAAGGGGGGGACAGGGGGAGGAATACCCAAACATACACCATCACCTTTTATTTCGTTGCACTGCTTCACGTGCGCTACTTTGTAATACTCATTAGAGGCATCCAATTGCCTGTTCAATACTTGAAATTAGTCAAAAAAAGTAGAAAGGTTTTCACTAATTGTGTCTGTTATGCTACCTAAAAAAAAAACCCTAATGCTTAGCAGGGAATTTCACAGCAAGACTTGCTACTAGAAGAAAGTTACTTACCTAAATTGGTATCTGCTCGGACTAGGAGTTGAGTTTTTTCATTTCCTGCTGGTTTTAAGTGTAATGTTCCTACACCTTTTTCTTTAAATTCATTGTCCTTTTTGTAGAACAGTTTGCACCTGTGCAAAAAAGAAAAAAATGTTTGTGCAGGTATGTAGAGATTAAATATGAAGATATCTCCCAAATACACACACACACATATATATATGTGTATATATCTGACTCAGAGTAAATCAATAGTTTAACAATAATCAGGAGTTAACATGCTGTGAGTAGCATAAATCTTTATTCTTCTTGACCTTGTTTCATGTGCTAACTTTCTGAACTGGAAGTACTATCTCTTAATTATTTCTGTCAGTATTGAAATGACAAACGTATTACTTTCAGGGAAAAATAAAATGCACAGCAACCTGTACTCAGGATCTATAAGGAGTAATAACTGTAAGCTACTGTTCAAAAATAATAATTACAAAACCATAAGAACTTGCTGAATCATTCTGAAGTTGTACTAGGACTTTTATGTAAAATTTAAAAACATTTTTTTAAGTGAAGCTCTAAGAAACCTAATGCCATTCTTCATAAATTAACACATACCTTCTCTAAGATAACGCAAATTACTTTTTGTAGAGGGACAAATTCTGTGCTAGGTGTTAAGCAGATGTGCAATTACTTGGACTACTGAACATGCTTTGAAAAACTGCTTCTAGTAGAGGTAGTCTCACTTTGAACTCAGAAGTACAACTTGTTCACTCCTTCATACAACAATCAGCATTTTCCAACCGAAGAGTTTTATTTTAGGCTATGCAAATAGCTGAGCACCTGACTGATTTTTCAGAAGTACAGTATGTTATTTTTGTGGGACAAGCCCTACAATTTAAACTTACAAAACCTGATGAAGGCAGAAACATCTTCATTTGTAAAATAACTGATCACAAGTAGAACACAAACTAGCTATCAGTGCCGTGTCCAAGTTGCACAAGAATTTTAGTAAGATCTTGCACATTTTTGTCTGTAATTAACTTTTTTTACAAGTGGAACTTCATATTCTACAAGGCTTCCTAACAAGCTTTATTAACTAGGAAGTCAAGAACGTATACGTCATTGATTATGCACTACAGTGGTGAAGAACAGCAGTATGTAGGTATGAATTTTATTCTCAAAGTTATGATTCTATTCACTATTCCAAGTTAAAGTCACTTACTTCTTCGAGTAGAAAGCATCATCCTCTTTTATTTCGTTAACAATGACTTTTGGTGGCTCCTCTTCCTCCTCTTCTCCTCCTTTAAATAAAAAGTTTTAATACGTTAATGTTGTGAGCATATCATCTGGAAGGTATTTTTGGCATTGTATTAGAACTAGTTTATGCATGCTATATTTGACATATACGTGCATAGCCCGTCAATGATTTAAATGTATTTTAGCAATCGGTGTGAGCTCTGAAGCAGCTGCAGCTACAGAAAAGTAGTCTATGTTTCTTGTCATTCAGCCACACCCCTCAAGCAACTTCATGCTCTTCTTCAATTTAAATGGGATGAAAATACCCAACCCCCACCAATCAATCAAAAGCAAAAAATGCAAAGCTTAAGAAGTCAAACAAGTTAAGTTTAAGTCAAAACTGTCTGTCAGGGGGAAAACAGTTATAACGTTTCAAAGAGTGTCTCCACAAATGAGTCCAAGTAAAGCATAATAAATGCTTCCAACAGCCAAATTTGCTTTGGGGGAAGGGTAATCAGTTGCAGGAATGACAGCCAAGAGACAGCAGCAGGATTATGCCTTTCCAGTCCCTCAACTGCTAGGATTTCTATCAGCTTAGTGTACCCAGCTTAGCTAAATAGCAGAGTAAAACTTTCAGGTAGTATGCAACTTTATTGGCCTTACAGTCTTGTAACAAAGACGTATGAAATTGTTTCAGATCTGATGCATTTTACTGAGGGATCTCTTGATACATCTACTGGGAAAAGCAGCAGGATTGAAATGTCCTGCAGGCTCAAAGATGAACATACCAGTTGCTTTAAATTTCATCGTTTCAAGTTTTGTATTCAGCTAAAGAATTACATTCTATTACAGAAAGTATAAATCTGATAGAAAGTACAAATCTGGCAAATACATAGGTTTTGATAACCATATACTTTTAGTTATACTTAAACAGTATACAAGACTGGTATTTCCACATTAGTGGTACAGTTTTGCCCTTTCGAACTCAAGAACAATTATGATCTACTTCAACTTAGTATTATTGCATCTTTGCAGTATTCTTAAGTCACATACATTCACAGCTTACCATTAAAATCAGTTTTAAATAGAATTTACCTTTATCATCGCTACTGCCGCTTTCTGTCTGAGCTTCCAATACATTGGTGGATACTGCAGTGACAGCCTTAGCCTGGTTTGCGTCTTTTCCAAACAAACCTGAATTCCCAGGAGAAAATGAGAAACTACTAAGCGTTCCTGAACCAAGGGAACCCAAAACAGAACTGTCGACACTCTTGCCAAAATTAAATGAGACGGTTGATGTAGCTCCTAATGATGGGTCTTTTTTTTCAGATGCAGCTTCAGGTTTTTTGTCCGAGGTATCCTCAGTTTTGTTGTTGTTAAACAAAAAAGTGGCTCCTTGCTGTAGCTTTGAATTCCCAAATGCAGAAACAGACTGAGCGCCAGGTGTCTTGTTGCTTTCGTTTTCAGAGCCACTATCGCTACTGCTTCCGTGTTGCTGTTCAATATTTGCTAAATACTTCTCATAGTCTCTAAAGATGGGCGTCAGGTCACACAGTGGGTTTGTGTTTACATGCTTAACTATCCAGTCACGCACAGAACAGTTTAAAGCTGCTAACTGTTTGTGGTAAACACTAGAGCTACAAACTTTACTCTGAGCATAGCCAGATGAGGACGGTTGACTGCCACCGTTAGCTTTTGGGCTTGCAGCCTTCTTCTCGGTAAATGCAGTAGTAGTAGGACCATTTGACACTGTGGATCCTATTAGAAGAAAAACATGGTTTAGAACTTTTTTTTTTCCCCCAGAGAGCACAATTCTCATAAAAACCTAAACTAAATGTTTTCAATATTTCTTTATCAAATCACTCATTCTTGCTCAGTTAGGTACCTTGTCTTTTATCACAACACCGTGTACCACACACTGCAGTGAAGTCAACAGACAATGCTGTGAAACAGATCTAACCCCACTAGGTTTAGACAAGTAAGTTAGTTCAGGGATAGACAAAGTAGATGGAGCACACAGTTGTATTAAAAAAATCCAAAGAAATCTGAAAGAGTAGCATTTTAAAAAATAGAAGTTTTGTAGTTCACCAAAACCCCCAAAATGTTAATTCAAGCTTTACCACGCTGTAACAGTTATTAAAACAAAATATTCAGTTATCTCTTGCTACTTGTACTTTTAAAAAGTCTGAACACACTAGCCCACGATTTTGCACATTTCTGAGTGGCTTCCATATAAAAACCATAACAAGCCCTCATTAAATATTTAAGTTTCTCCTAATTTCGTTAAGCTCACTGAAGTCTAAATTACTCTAAACTCCAAACTCCACCATTTCTGTTCTGTGGCATGCTGACTCTAAAACACTGTGGCATGGTTAACATTTCTGCATCTCCAACACAAAGGGATAGAACTAATATTCTTCAGGGACTACCAAAGCAGGAGACTAGAGTTAGATTTGCCAAAATATCTCAAGTGTCTTAAAATGTAGGTATAAATGTAAGAGATAAAATTCTAGTAAGGCTGTTTGCAATATAAGTTGTACAGGGAAAAAAGGTTAGGACTTCAGCTATGCAGCATGTATTTACCAAGAACTGCAAAAAATACAGAACCAAGACCTTAAAAAAAAAAAACAAACACACAAAGAAACTGCAGTCCCACTAAATGGACATTTGCCATTAGCATTTTTTTAATTAAATTCAGATAACTGGGACGATTATTTAACTGGAACATGTTACCAGCTGTTTTATACTATTCAGAGAGTGTCTCATGCCAATGTCTTCCATTCCCATTTGTGCCTATAAAGCTTTTACGTGCAGTATTAGATCAAATATGGATTTAGATTCCACCTCTTCAAACTGCATGCATTTGATAACGTGTCCCTCCTGCAGTCTAAAATGTTTTTCGGAAATCTTACCACGAGGAATAAAGCCTCAAAACCTTAAAAGAGAACTACCGGGTTGTTTGAATTTGTTTTTTCACTATTAAAGTAACCCTACACATTTTATGGCTGAATTTCTTGATGAATATGTATGCTTATTTAAAACTTACCAAATGGTGACTGTGTTTCAGGGGTGGTCTTTAAACTGCTGAAAGAAGGAGTGCTAGAGACACTACTGCTTCCATTAGACAGCCCTTCTAAAGGCTTTATTCCTGCACCATTACCAAATCCGCTGAAGGCACCTCCTCCTTTTCCAGAAGGCAGTATGAAGCCTTTAAACCCTTTAAAAGCTCCTCCGCTTTCAGACTGAGAAGAAAAAAAAAGGGGGGGGGGGGATGGACACGACGACGACAACCAGTTACACACATCTCCTCTACAAAAATTCTATCCCCACTTAATATTCCATTTATTTTACCCCGGTACAGTGTATCATTTCATGTATTATTCTAAGTCAGCTATGTAAACAAAGTCAAGAGCTTCCTTATGACACATATTGCTACTATTTCTAAAGGACTCAGATGTTTGGTATGAAAATAAACTAGATCTAGGAAGTGGATACATGGAAGTTGTTCAGAGCAGCGGATGTGTTTGACTACCTATTTAGACATTCATAGCATCTTGTTTTCTTTAAATAATTACATAGCAATATATAATGGCAAGCTTATTTTCAGCAACTTTTAGCATTTACAACCACAGTTAGAGTGCTTGCTGGCACTTCAAGCCACTCATCGAAACAGCATACTTTGTAGTCACCTATGTAATGTTTAAGTGCCCAAAATAAAAAAAAATAAAAATAAAAAAATAAACCCAAAATATTCCAATGTGACTGATGGGAGAAGCAAAGATAGACTGTACTTGATAACATAACATGTATGCTTTCTGCAGCCTTTTAATTACCTAGTTCTGAACACTAGATGATGTTCAGCACCATATTACTTTATGGTATAGTTTCTTACATGTTTTTAAAAGATACAGTGATTAACATGTAAATAGGCACTGCCACTTTTAGGTACTACATATAACGTCTTTTGAGGTAATGAGCACTTATTACTGGAAGTGGACTTTCAATGTCTCTGGAAAGCCATCAGAGGAAAAGGAGAATTGCTTCCAAGTTTTATCTGCTTTTGCCACTGAAGAAATAGCAGAACTTATCCATTTTAGCTTCTATTCCAGTATCTGGCCTAGTGGGTATGGGCTCTTTTTGTTTCCCTTTGTGCTTTACCGTTTCCAGTTCAGTCCTCTGTTTCTCATTTCTAGGTAGCTGTTTTTATTCTGTCTCTCTTTCATCAGTCCTACCTACCTCTCTCTCTGGGCATTCAAGTTAAACTGCAAGTCTTTTTCTTTGCAGCATTCTGCTTGCTCCATTTAGGAACATCAATATATTTCAAGACTACCTTTTTGTAAATATTTCACAGGTTTCTTATGCAGCCTCAGCTGTCCTGCCATCTCTTGTGCTTTTTAGACTTTGCCCAGCCTATCCTAGCTCTTCTTCCAGCTTTGATCTCTAACAGCTGACTCCCAGCCTCCTGACTGTTTCTTCTACAATCATCTGGTCCTCTTTCTCAGCCAGTTCTGTTTTTCCCATTCCATTTGCCCCTGAACCCCTCCTCCTGTTCAAATTGTGGTTTATTTTTACCTCTTGCCAGTACAATCCTTTAATTAACTGCATTCTCTACCACATTTGTGGTTAAAACTACTATAGGCCAAAGTGGGATAGGACAGCTTCCTCATTTACATTGCTCGGACAGCAGAAGGAAAATCAGAAGCACAGGAGAAAACTATCTAGCCCCTAATTGTGCCTAGTCCCATTCAATCCAAAAGCAATTTGAGTGACAGGTAAAGTTTCTGTCCTGTTTCTAACACGGTGCATGCCCTGTTGAAAGAATGTTTCACAGCAAGATATATATGGCAAAGCGTCTGTCAGGGATTTTTGAAAGGACTACAGTTTGGTTGGACTGGGTTAATGCTTTCACAGGGACTAAACCTGCAACAAAGGCCAACTTCCTTTCAATTTTCAGTTTGTTACTGCAAAGAGTAGGTGGCACTAAAGCTCTTCACAGGGGGAAAAAACAAGTAGCAGCATTCTTAACAAAAGACATCTTTTTCATTCTCAGATCAGCTTAGTATTTTGGCTTTTACTTATTTAGCATCTGCCTGAGACATCCCCCAGCCCTCCAGTATGGGTAACTAGTAACTTTCCATTTCCAGGCTTCCATCTCTGCAAAGAATGAAACTGGAGGAGTTCAAATGCTATTTTACCCATCTGTAGAAGTTGCTGTGCCTGAAACACTCTGCCTGAAACACTCTGCATTTATACTTCAAAAATACACATCTCTCTTTACCTAATCAATACTAGTATTAGCCATTTTTCATTCTAGCCTTATTCTTGCTATGGAACAGCAAGCAAAAATTAATTTGCACGTATGAGCTGACTAGTTGCATATACCTTCTAAATAATAGCTTTATACAGTATATTACAAGCCCAAGGAAGTAAAAACCTGAGCACTGATGTCATATTTTGCAAGAGTCAAACTACAACACTAATGCTCAGCGATTACGTTACCTCTGATCCAACATTTCGGCGCTTTGCTTTTTTAATAGCTCTGTTCCTCAAGACTTCTTCGCTAGCTACAGAGAATGTTCCCACCTTTAAGAAAAAAGTTACGGAATCATTAGTGAAATTCTCCCAATGCATAAAGTCATCATATTCTGAAGAGATGGCCGAGATCAGCGTTTGAACACAACTGTAACACTTCTCCCTAAAAAAATAAGGGAAAATAAAAAAAAAACCACACCAACCAAAAAAACCCACCAAAAAAAAACCCCACACCCAGAAAATATAGTACTGTGATTAGTTTGCCAGCTACTTGGACAATTAGTTGATACTTTCAAAACTCTGTCTGTCTTGTTCTGCATTATATTTCCCTTCATGCAATCTCAATTTTGTTATGACAAATAATTAATTTTTTTTCTTTATTGCACTGTTACAAACAATCTTCAGTTTGGAGAAGGTATATTGAGATGTATGCTGTAAGTCAATCTCCTGCAGTCTGCTATAGTTCAAGTATTAGCAAAGGCAGCTAATGACTACCCTGTAATAAATGAGGAAATTAAGTTTTCTTATATTCAAATTTCTGTAAGAGTACTTTCAGTTTTCTTTCTAACATTTTGTAGGCCTAAACACTTAATACTTTTAGTAGCACAGAAGCTAGCACAGTTTGTTTAGAGGTAACACGTGAGCTGTAAGTAAGTATGAGACACTAAACTTGAAAATCTTTTTACAATAAGATGAAACATATCATTTGACTGTTTGCTTAATTCTTCTGGCTGTGTAGGGACATCCAACTAAGCACTCCAAATTAACATATTTCTGAAACTATTACTGACCTTTAAAAAAAAAAAAAAAAAGACATGAGACATGAAGAAAATTTATCTCAAGAAATCAAAATCACATTTCTTGTGAACTCAATAAATACCCATCACACATTTGAAGAGTTCAAAAGCATTATGCATTTTAACAAGCCTAGGGTTCCCTTTAGAAATGTAAAGTTCTTTTCCCCTGAGCTGCTGATGTCATTTTAACTGTTAAAAGCTGCTTTGCCATATGGCATATGGTCTGCATATATTGGAAGCTTTATTAAGAAAAAAAAACCAAACACTTATATAAAATTATCTTTAATTGCTACGCCTTTAACCAATTTTACTGTAGATTTCACCCAGAAGATAAATAGCACATGTGAATAACTACCCTACTACCTGCAGGGGTGGAGGATCTAATGTGTATCTTACCTCCTCAGCTTCATCCTCCTGATCCCAGTTTCTGTCAGTCAGTTCCTTCTCTGCAATTCTCTTTGCCATTTTTCCACACCTGTGCAGGAAAAAAAAAAAAGGCATGGAATCAATTGCACAGAAATTAAATTCTAAGCAACAGTGATCTTCCGTTTGTATTATTTAGAACAAATAATGGGAATTAGAGTTCATATAGAAGTAGGTCAAAATTGGAACGACAGTTGAAAACCAAGTGTTTCTAACAACTGTTGTGGCAACAACAATCAACAGCACTTGAGATTAAAGTTGTGGTGATAAGCCATATTTGATCTTAAATTTAAGCAACAATACAAACATGCAGTTCAATTATGGGATAAGTTTTCTTTAGCAGCAATGCTGGCTACAGAAATTCCTTTCAGTCCCATATAGCTGGTTACCACTTACTCTGAAGGGCTGCAAAAAAAACCCCCAAAAATATGGAAAAAAAGATCTGTTTAAAACATTCCATATTCCACTCCATCTTGCCTCAGGATACCCATGCAAGCAGCAAGAGAAAAGTAAGTTGCTTTACAGCATCTAAAATAAATACCAATGAGGACCCACTGAAGCAACTGGACAGAAAGCTTGGGTAAGGATGAAGACAATGCTCGCTCTCCTACAAAAAACGGGAAAGGTAGAATATTACTAATTAGAAATCTGAAAGATTCTATTACCAGTAAATCGGATTATTTTTCCTCCAAAGGAAACATAAAGCGTATCATGGATTTTAGAGCAATTACTGTAAGTAGCCACTCATCATTTTGCTAGTTATCTCTGCAATGTAAAGGAAAATCAACTTTGGAGAAGGAATGTCTGTAATAGTTCTTATTACAAGTACAACTTATCAGCTGTGTACAAAAACAAAGAATGAATCCAGCTATGATATTTTGTATCTGAAAGACTCGGCAAGTCACATTACTCAAATTTTATATGAAAAAAAGTTTTTTTACTAACTATATCATATGACACTAAATATGAAAACTTTTCAAAGAAAAGATGTAGTTTTGTAGCAATTTAAGTCTCAAGCGAGCACAAAAATTAAAACTCATCAAAAAACCCTCTTAGGTTTGTAATTAAGACCTGGCCAGATAAAAAAAAAATTTCCACAAATAGTTGAATTTCAGAGCTGAAAATGATAACAATAGACGGTTACAGAACATCTTGTTGTTTAGCCGATGAAATATTTTTAAACAGAACAGTAAATCCAGCTGCACAGCAGTCTTACAGAGATCACACGTCAAGGCCATGAATTTTGGTCTGACACACTTCACAAATAAGGTCAAGTTATTAGGATCTTTTGGCAGTACAGTGACAAAAGATCGTTTTGTGTAAACACTTTAAAACTCCCTAATCCACACCATCCTGAAAGTAGAGGTCCTACCATGCCCTCCTCGATTCTCTGCAGACTGGGCAACTATTTAAATCTAACCCCTTGGAAAAAAAAAATTACTTTTTATAAAGTCATATTGGCTCCCCAGTCCAGTTTCCCAGAACCACAAGGGTATGCAAACACTGGCAATCAGAGGAAGACAAGATTGCATCTGTTTGGCAGCAGCCAGAACTCAAAGGCTAGCAAGACCTAGAATTACACCATCGGATTCCACAGAAGATCAAATTACCACTCTTAACCCAACCACTGAAGCATGACAAGCACGACGTTAACTAGAAAGCCTGCTGTCCACTAACAGAAGAGGGGTAAACCTGGTGGCCTTGGCTCCAGGTTCTTTGCACCTGCCTGCGTTTACACGATTTCTCTAGGACGCTGCAAACAGGAACAGACAACAGAACCTAAGATACACGAACACACGAGCAAGAGAATTCTAGACACGTTTTCTAGCCTGTGAAATAAGAAGAAACACAAAACCACCTCTATCTGATATTCACAACCTTCAAGAAGTTTTTGTAGCAAATGGTCTGAGCAGGTTGAGATGGGAGTATTTTCAGAAACTTTTTATTTAAAAAAACCACAATGCAGATGTTTTGTTGAACTACTAAAATCCACCCAGTAACTACAGCTGCCCTATTTAACGCAGCAATTTGAGAACAAGACTGACTTTTAACATTTGCACTCCACAATATCACCTACCTACCGCAAGACTACAAAACTTGCGCTATTGGAGCGCCCAGCCTAAAACCAGGCGGCCAAAGAAGTCGCGGGTCTCTGATCATACTTGCAAGCCTTCAGCCGCGCGGTGGGGCGGCAGACCCTGTTCAGTCCCGAGCTGTCTGATGGAGCCCGAGAACGCCGGCGGTGTTTCGGGGTGCGCGGAGGCGGCGGCAGCCAGGCTGCCGCCCGGTAGCTCACCCGCCTTTCTCCTTTCCTGCGAAGATCTTCGGTTTCGGCGCAGGCTCTTTCGGTTTAAGATACAAAGTCCCGCTCGCTTCCTTTCCAAAGGCCTCGCCGCAGCCCCCCGTAACATCTGAAGTAAGTTCCTTCCTTCCTTCCTTCCTTCCTTCCTTCCTTCCTTCCTTCCTTCCTTCCTTCCTTCCTCCCTCCCTCCCTCCCTCCCACCCCACACACGCTACAGGGCAGCTCCGCGCTTTTAAAACCAGAGTTTCTGCCCCCCCGCCCCGGCGCGGCTCGCCCCAACGCCATCGCCCACC